AAAAAAAAAAATTGGCTGGAAAAAAGATGGTAAATTAAAAAAAAATTTAAATTTTATTTATTTTTTATTTTTTTAAAAAAAGGTAAAAAAAAATAAAATAAAATAAAATAAAATAAAAAAAAATAAAAAGCATATGGGCAGATTTAACGCAAGTAAATCACTTATGTGATAATACAGAATTCTATATGTAAATCAGAGATTGATAATTTTGTAAATTTTAACCCTAACTACATCAAAAATCTAACCCTAAATGAATCTGGCTTTTAACGTTCTCTCTTATTTAGTAATTGTCAATTAGAGTAAATATCACATAATATCACATAATTACGTGTATGCATGTTTATTGGTAGTAGGGTATCTAGGATTATGATGTGACATAATATGCGTATAATTTGTGCATAATTCACTCACTTTCATACAGTATGTAAACAAAAATTGATTGGTTAAATGAATAAACTGGGTTGTTCCTTTGACTGTAATTACCTGACTTGCTGTTCTTTTGAAATTTTATTGTTAATAATAACTCAAAATTCGCATAATTCACATAATTTATGATTTGTTATATGCATAATTTGGCTATTTTTGCATCATAATCCTGGACACCCTAATTGGTAATTTGCCAATCCATGTGATTATTATCGATTATTGAAACATCACATTTGTGATCTGCAAATGAGTCAAATCTGCCTATCTGGAAAAAAAAAAAAAAAATGAATTTTTTTGTTTTTAAAAAAAATTAAATAAAAAAGAATTTTTTTTTTTAGAACAAGACAAGAGTAACCGTACTTCTATGCACCAATTTAACTGGCTCTGATAAATTACGCCTACTAGTAATTGGAACTTCTAAAAGCCACGATCATTTAACAGAATAAATATATCACAACTGCCAGTAACATATAGAAATAATAAAAAAGCATGGATGAGGACCGATATTTGGGAACAATGGTTAAAATTTATTGACAATAGATTCTGTATTGAAGGTAGGCAGGTCTTACTTTTGGTTGATAATGCAGCTTTACACATGTCCCCGGAAGCAAGTAATACGGCCCCAGAAATGAGTAATATGATCGAAGTCCAAGACGCGGCTGAAGAATCGATATCAGAATATGATTCTTCAGAAGAAATTGAGAAACTTCAAGAGTAGCTCCAGGAAAGGCCACAAGGAAGGCCATGAGGAAGGCCACAAGGAAGGCCACGAGAAAGGCCACAAGGAAGACCATGAGGAAGGCCATAAGGAAGGCCACAAGAAAGATCTCAAAGACCTAATCCTACCGGTTCTGGCCGATCAAGATGGATTTTAAGTACTCTTTACCTTACCAATATCACTGTACAATTTCTTCCACCAAATACCACCGCCCACCTTCAACCCATGGACGCTAGCATCATTAGAAACTTCAAGTCAAAATACAAGAACCTGTATTGTTGTTATTTGATCAAGCAGTTTGAAAAGAATAAAAAACAAAGGTAAAATTCATATAACGAACCTCTATATGGGTATCACATATTAAAAGGGTCTATTTTTACATTTAAATCATTTTAAGTGAATTAAATTTAAATAATGATCAACAAATAGAAGCATATATAAAATTGTATACTTCAAGTTTATTTTGTAGATCTTTTTATTATGAGTGCCACCAAAGCAAAACCTGCAAGCAAACTTTGAGGTATCAATAAGGCAAGTTTAACCCTGAGAAAATTGTGATATTACGTATTAAATCATCGCATACAATCAGTATTCTGGTTGTTTCTATATCATGTGCGCTTGTCATTATTTAACAAAACTTAGACCCTAAGTTTTGTTAAATGGTGCAATGATTTAATGCGTAATTTTCTCAGTTAAACTCACCTTATTGATACCTCAAAATTTGCTTACAGGTTTTGCCTTGGCCACTCTTATACAATTATTACTTATGACAAGCTTTTTATTAAATAGATACCTATTCAAAAATAAAATAAAATAAATTGTTAAAATAGATCCTTTTAATATATGACACTCCATATAATGAGTTCTGGATATAACGAACTCAAAATTTAAAATTTTTTTTTAATGATTCGGTATAGAATTGTCATGACCTTAAGAAATAATAATTTTTAAAGAATGAACTTTTTTCTTTCAGAATCGTCAGTTCGTTATAGGAGGAGTTAAACACTAGTATACTAATAATTTTTATAAAATGCAGGAAACTTAGCCTAAAAAAAGCTATTGATTTTATTTCTGATACTTGGGAAGACATGAGCGAGACTACCATAAAAAATTGTTGAAGAACTACCAAAATTATGGCTAAAGTAAGTGAGATAGAAGGTGAGTTGGAGGAAGAACCTCAAGAAGAAACAACTGAAATAAATAACGCTACCACGATAGTTGACGACCTTTCAGCTGCTGCAACCAACCCAATGACCCAGAAACTAAAAGATAATATTGAAGAATACATTTATATGATCGACCAACTAACTGCAACTGAGGACTTGTTAACTGACGAGGGTATTATTGAAATGGTGATAGATGAATTTTGTGATGACGATGATGACGATGAAGATGATGAAGAACCACCACCACTCCAATAACCATGACGGAGGCTATTGAAGCCTTGGAAAAGGTCATAAGATATTAGAAAAATCTCAATGTAGGACATGGGTTTGATGAGAATGAGTTAAGAGCATTACGAAAAAAACACAAAGAATGGCAATATGAAAAAGAAAAAAACAAAAAACAATCTTCACTCTTATCTTTTTTTAACTATACTGATGCTGCGCTCTAAGTTTAGCTTTCAATTTTTGTTTGTATTTTTGGCTTTTTGTATGCCACTTATTTGATTT